TGCTCTTTAAAGAGTAGGAAGTGGCTAACGTTGCTAAATATATACGAGTAGATTTATAACACCAGAGCATTGCTCTCATGGTAAATTTAAGATAAAAAAAATATCTTTTCGTCTCCTCAAAGTTTTAGTTTCACCTGGTTTCATAAAAAATCTGCTTTAAAGAACCTTTGGCTATTAGAATATTAATCGAAAAAATTATCGACAGATTAATCGATTTGCAAAATAATTAGTTCGTTCATACTAGTAATTTCTGTTGGGTTTAAATATAGGTTCGTTATAAAAATAAAAATTAACTATAACCATAATGAACAGTAACTATAGAGATTATACAGAAGATCAGCCAATTATTTAGCCAGTTTTTAGTTTTTTTTATCTTTGTAATTCAGACATTTTTGAAATAGAGCCGTAAACAATGATACTGTGAGGGTTATCTTACTGTCAGAATTTCATACCGACCCATGCCTGTTCTCAGGATTTAAAAATGTTAAGTTTTAAATGTTATGTTTCATTAGAAAATGAAAATGGAAATGTTTTTTTTCACTGCTAACCTGCTGCTCATTTAATATCTCTGTGTATACAAAATGACAATAAAGTTTGTCTTATACTAAAAGTAAAAGTATCCCAATCTCCTAAAGACTAAATTAGATTAAATAGAGATCAGAAAAGTTGTTTTTTGTGTTTTTTTATTGTTTTCTCTGGAGTTTTTTTTTTTTTTCATTTTTATTTCAGTTTGGAAAAACTCTTCTTGCTGTGATTGGTTGGTAATGTGTTTGTGTGTCGCCTGCAGGCTGGTTTACACTGCTGCTGATCACTAACTGACCACCTGCCTGTTTCTAAGTCTATCAAAACAAATGCGTGTGGGGCTAAACATGGCCACCCTATAAACTCCGCCCTCTTCCTGTCTCTCTACCAGTCCACTGTCCCGCAGCCCAGCTTCCCCATGCCAGTCACCGTGCCAGTGTCCAATCAGAACGCGGCGGCCGCAGCAGCCCTCCAGTTCAGCAACAATCCTGCCGGCCCCATGGTCACCACCACCTCCTTCGTCACCTCCGCCCTCACAGATCCCCGCCTCCTGTCGCCACAGCAACCAGTTCTGCAGAGGAACACCGTGTCGCCGGGGTTACCACAGCGACCAGCCAGCGCAGGTAACAAAACATGTGGAACGCAGCTGGAAAGCTTTGGTTTCTCCATCTCTTCACAGTTCAGCTGTGGTCGTATCAATCAATAACCGGTGGCCTTTTCAGAAAGGAAACATCCTGTTTCAATAACTGCTTTGATTGATTTATCACAGGTTTAGTTGCTTTTTTATCAGATTTTTCAGACAGGGAGTCAATTTTCTCTCTGGAGGATGTGTTTCTCACAGCAAAGTATCTAATAAATCTGAATTTCTGCAAATGGGGACAATGATTTCTGACACACAGGGAGAGTTTGAAATATTTCAGAATTTCCTTTCAATAAAATGAAAAGAAAGCAGCAAGATTTAGAAAGACATTTCCTGAAGGAGAGTTTTGTTTTATTAAATTAAAACTTCTTCATGATTAAACCCGGTTTGGGATAATTTTAAATTACCCCCTATTTTTTTACTTATGCAGGTTGGCTCTGGTGTTGTTTTAGCAGTGTGGAAATAAGTCTGAACTTAACAAATGAAGCTAAGAAACTCAATGACCTTTCATCTGCTGTAAGCCAAGATCCTCAAAAATAATTGAATTTAATGCACCAAATAACTCATTTTAATTGATCTTTGTAATTTTATGAACTAAAACTAAAATAATTCCCCTTTTTGATAATTTTCCAAACCATAAATATACACTTTTATATGTTACTGAAACACTACATCAGCTAATTTTCTGCTGACGTTTCTCAATATCAGCTTTGTTTTCTTTAGGTTTTTTTTATTTTATTTTTTTTTATAATCTCCTTAATTATTCTTTTTGACATTTTGTCCCCAAATCAAATCATTTCAAGGCTCAGTTTTCCTCACATGTAAAAATCTGGACTCCATAATGACTCCTTTAATTGAAGTGATTTGATGCACCTTAAGCAGACATAGTTGCCATGGTGATTTAGTTACTTTCTGTTAAGTCCACCTTCTTTGGAGCCACAGTTAGTTTATGTAAGAATCAGGGAACTTTTCAGAAAGTAATAAGTCTGCGTTCCAATGTCTCTCTCAGCCAATCTGTGTATGTTTCCCCCTCAAATGAGAACCTGCTGCTATAACAGCTCTTTGATCCACGTCACACTGCTGCATGCACGCATGCATCCATCCATGCACTTCCTCTGTGCGGGAAACCAATCCTTCAACCCCTCTGACTAAAAGGATTTGTGCCCCATTTTTGCGTCTCAGACAGGGTTACTCACCAAGCTTTGTTCTGAGCGGCGTAATCTCATTGTAAGTCAGAATTAGGTGATGTAACGTGCAACAAATGCATTACAACATCTTTCATAACATGGTGCTCAGTGAGGAGAGTGACTTTCATATAATACTTATGTAGGCCCCCATACTCCTCCTCCCCCTTAATTCCTTACAGCTACAGGAGCTTAACAAGCTCCTATAAACCTCACATTACTCACTCTTATTAGCTGAAATGTGTTTTCTTTATCCCACCACTGTGTGAAATTAGAAAATTATGGGTTTTTTTTTGACATCATTTCAAATTGGGCGGAGTATCTCGACATATTCCAGCTATACTTATTTTTCATCCTGTCATCATGATGCTTCCATCCCAACTCAACTACAGAAAAATAAAAGTAATAAACTCACCGTTGAGTTAGCGTTACGCTGGTTTTCCTTCTGTATGAGCGCCGCAAGCGTCACGTCACGTGACTAAGAAAACGTAACGGGATTGGCTGGTTGTTGGACGCCACAATCCATTGCTAATGTCTGTGACCTGAAGTAACCCTTCCCTTTTTACACGGAATTTAGACGCCGAATTTAAGACAGTGAAATAGAGCCAGTTGAATCTCAGGAGGCTGAAAATATTAAGTTTGAATTTTGAAAGGTTGAATTTTTTTTAAATGCTGATTTTTTTAACACTGAAAAATAAGTATTGAAAATTTAATCACTTTGAAATAGTAATGTAAATATTTAGCTTTTAGAGAAAATAACAAATGAAATTTCAACTGTAGAAATAATGACAATGAATTTTTTTTTAGGCCAAAAATGTGTTCCGAATATATTTTAACACTGAAACAGTAAGTACAAACATACAAGATTTAAATTTCAGTGGCATTTTTAATTCAAATCCTAGCGACACAGATTTACTTCCATATATTTACATTAGCCATTAAATTGGGGAAATTGTCATTATGAAAATTCATTTTCTAAATAGAAACACTGCCATTTCAAAACTACTCACAGTTTTAGATAAAGAATTTTTATGCTTCAACTTGTTTTTTAAGTCATATCAAAGTTCTATTATCTCACTAAACTACAATAGAAACACTTTTTTCGCATCATACAAGTCACATGGTCTGCAACTGGACGAAGAAGACGACCAGAAGCAGTTGGAGACATTGGCACCAACTAGAGACGGGGCTGAAATAAGGCTAATCTAATGTGTTAGCATCTGCAGCAGCCATGTTTTCAGAGTTATAGCGTGAACAAACATATCCACGTACAACTTTCATTGATTTGCTGTTTGTTGGAAATGCTGGAATCGCTGTAAGTTTTTTTAAACAAGCAAAATATCAACATAGTTTTGCACACATTTGTAATGGAAACACAGCTGGACATTAAGATCCACACCAGGTGTGGACGTCAAGAGCAATAGAAGACTGAATATTTCTTAGATAGAGTAAAGGAAAAACCTGCCAAATTATACATCCGGGCTTTCCATTAGTCTTCCTTTAGTTTTACACATGATGGTATTACACTGTCTAATGTAATATAAATATAAATATGATATATTTATATATTAGCTTGGAAATCATTTTTAATAAACTCTAAAATCCTTAAATCACTCAATATGTTTAACCAACAGAGAAAAAGCTTGGCTGGAAGAGTGATACTTCCTAAACTGAAGATCTGTTTTAGTTCAGTTCATCCTAAGGCCCTCTACAGAAATATCCAATCCAGAGAGGTTGCTTAAGAGATTTCTATCTAAGGAAATCGCTCCTCCTGGGTCAGAATGTGGTGAAAGTTAACATTTACTTGCTTTGTGTCATTGACCCCAAAGCAATCCCTCACACTGAACAAGCAGGGAACGACAGTGGGGAGGAAGAACTCACTTTTAACGCTAAAATTAGAATATCTTCGCTGTACAATTAAAAGCATTGATATTTTATGGTTTCGTCTTTGCTTTTGAGGAACAATATGCTATAAAACATCATGATAAATCTTTATGACAATAATGTTTGATGCTTGTTTAAAGAAAAACTTTTATGTAGGTATTCAAATATTCTTATAAAGTAAAATTAAATCAGAAATTGTTGGAAAATGAAGCATATAAAACAAAGTGGAGCTTTTTTATGAAAAAAGTAAAATTAAATCAGAAATTGTTGGAAAATGAAGCATATAAAACAAAGTGGAGCTTTTTTATGAAAATACACATTTAGAAATTTTATCAATTTAGGTCTATTTCAACAATATTTGTTGCGACTTGGACACACCTTAATAAATTGAATTAAATATTACAAATTACTTTTCCAATAGCTGGAGGAACTACCAGCTATATAGGGTCTATATTTGCAATAAAACCAAAGCCCAAAACCATTAATATCGTAATTTCATCTTTCAAAGCTTTGCCACATGTTGCATGTCTACAAATATCATGCAGCTCCAGTTGACATCTTAAATCATGTAAGTGAGAAATGGTTCAAGGAGAACAGGGCTGCCCCTGCTTCTCAATGAAGTTCACATTAATCCTTCTGAAACAGAGATGGGATTCTGGATTAAAAAGAACATTTGAACTAGTTAAAGTGTCAAGAACTGCAAAAAATTAGAATGCTTTGCTCTAATTTTAGGTGCATGTTTGGCTTAATGGGTATTTTAAATGTTTTTGTTTAAACAGAATAAATGAAATTGTATTTTTATTACTTTTAAGAGAATATGCCATATAGAGAATGATTTAACACTTTGAAAAGAATCTTTGAAGGTCTTTTAGTGTAAGAATCAGTGACAGTTTAGTGGCTGAATGTGTATCATAAGTACCATTGAGAAGTGATGAAGGCAGCACTTTAACTGGAAATGCAGCTTTGAGGCCAATTAAGGTGCTTTAGAGGGGAAATGATCATCAGTTTCAGAAGGACTTTTTTAATGACGTACTTCACTTAATAATATTTTTTCAAAGTGGATGTTCATCAGCTTTTAGATAAGTGCTGCTCAGATATGCTGCTTCATGTGAGATTATTTTTATGAACTTTATGGTTTTCTTTCCTGTTCCTAGGTGCCATGTTAGGGGGAGATCTGGGGAACTCAAACGGAGCGTGTCCAAGTCCAATTCGTAAGTCAATCTGCTTTTTTTCTTATATCCGACTTTACAGGATCCATATAGCTGCAAAGAAGTCAGTTTTTTACTTTCCTTTTTGTACATTTTAAATAAAGAAATCCTGTTTTTATTAGTAATGGTCAACAGAACAATGCAGACTGATCCTGTATAGCAACAGCCTCACAGTCTGCTTCAGACTTATGCAGAAACACATAGGCACCTGTTGACTGGTGACAGCTGGGGTGGGGTGGGGGTCACAGCACAGGCTGCTTGTAAACAGCTCACAGAACAGAAAGGGTTTCAGGTTATAAGGCAGTCTGTGATTAAGCGATTCAAAAGAGGAAAAAGAAAGAGTTAAAATTTGAAAACAGCTGATGTAGCTTTCCTGCTGTTATCCCTCTTTTCCAGGTAGGAAGCTGTTACTTTTGTTAGTTTATTCAGAAACTACCTTAAACCACTAATCTGGTCTGGAATCGGACACCTGTTCCAGATCAAATCCCTCTGAATCAACATTTCATCCCTGGCAGTGCTTATGTGTCAATCCTGCAGGCCTCCTTTAGGTTGGTTGCTCCACCTACAGTAGATAAATTCAGTTATTCCCAATCACTTAAATTATTTTTATAGGTTTTAATTTTACTTTGTTCAGAAATATTATTGAGGCCTAAATACCACACTGGAAAAACGATCTAGAAATAAGTTAAAACTTCCTAAATTAAGTGTATTTACCATTAACTTGAGCAGGTAAATTAGATAGTTGGCCAATGGAATTAGTATTTTTACTCTTAAAATAAGATAATTAGATAACATGCACCTGAAATAAGACAATGCCAGTGTTTTTTCTTATTTTATGTGTAAATTGTCTTCTTTCATTGGCAAAATGTCTCTTTTACCTCCTCAATCCAAGAACAAATGCACTTATTTAAAGAAAAAATGACTTTTCTGGATTTTCTTTTCAGCGCACCTGCCTGTGATAGAGACATTCTGATTGATGCTTTTCTAGAGTTTGTTTTCCAAGACCGATCTGTTTATGTGAAGTAAAAAAAAGCAACCAATGAACTCAGCCTGCTTTCCTAAGTCAATCCATGCCTTTAAATTTATTTCTACATTCCTAATCTTTCTGTTTTTTTTGTTCTTTTTTTTGTTTGGGTATTGTTTGAGTTTATTTTTTCCTGACGCAGTGATTAATGAGCTTTTCTTTCATTTCCTATTTTTATTCTTTTCTTTAGTACTCTATAGCACTGAGCAGTGAATCTGGGGATTTTCCCTATATGTAAAGTTAGTGAAACTGACCATTAGAAAATAACTGAAAATGCAGAAGTGAAATAGTTTATGACTTTAATTAAAACTTTCCACTCAGTTGAGAAAATTACATGTGTTTTCTCAAGGGAATGAAAGGATCTATGATATTATAATATTAATTGTAACGCAAAAAAAACATATTTTGTCCCACAGAGTGTAAACCATTCAGGTTCTGTGTAATAAAGAATAACTCCTCTTTTTAACGAGGATTTAAACTTTTTTTTTTTTTTTTTTTTTTTTTTTAAGTGTTCAGGTTCACTCGACAAGCCCAGGCCTGATTACTGATAACCTGTCCAACAACAAAAGCACAGAAACAGAACATGTTTACGACATTTAGTAGTTTAAACGATGTCAAAACCTAAACACCTTCTCAAAGAAATCTATAGAAATCCCAAAAAAGATGAGAAATAAATCTGATAACGTCTTTCAGTCCTGAAATGGTTAAAAAGCCATAAAAAGAAAATTGCCAACAGCACATGGAGCCATTATCCACCAACAGAGAAAACAAAAAGAAAAATTGATTATTCTTCAAAGCAGTGACCTATCAAATGACTCCAGGAGTTTATTGACACTCATCCATAAATCCTGCATGGTCTACTCAAAGCTCGATATGAAATCCATACGAGATTAAAATAATAACAATAAAAATAATAATGCATTTTATTTAACAGTGTCTTTCTAGTCACTGATGGTAACTTTACAGAAATAAAAATTAAAATACAAAAAAGCCAGTTCATGTTTGGGCAAGCAGCAGTTGGGTCAGACGACACCTACAGAGTAAAATACTTTAATTACTAAATAATGAAATAATTGATTAATCAGAAAGAGCAGAATCAGTCTTACACTAGAATCCCTCCAACTTTATAATCTATCATCTTTTTTTGGGTCAGATTTTTCGCTAACTGATGTCTTATGTCTATTTTTTTAACTTAGAGTGAAAACATTTTTAATCCTTATAACCATTTACACCTCCACTGCTTTCCCTTGTGATTTATCAGCTCTCCCTATTCCTCTGACTACACCCTCCCCTCCTTTCACCATGTCACTGTCAGCTGTTGCCCCTCGTCTTCATTCTGGAATAATCTCCCACCCTGCCCCGCCCCGCTCTCTGCCCCCCCTCCATCTAGCAATCCCCCGTCTTGGCGCAGGACTCTCCTCAGAGGTGACTTTGACGCTGGCCAGAACTCGCCCCTTAAATCCTGTTAGTTAGGACAGATACTTCCAGCTGTATCCCATAGCCATAGATATGCTGAGGTGGGCTCTTTTTTTGCTCTGTATTCACCTGACAGCATTACTTCTCTCTTGTTACAGAAAGCCAGAACAAATCTATAAGAACTGTTGTAAGAATACCAATAGGCGTTCACACGCGAAATATATTCATTGGGGTACAAATGCATTCTAATTACAGGTTGAGAAGGCCAGTGATAAGAGTTCACAAGAGTGAAGTTTAGCAACATTTTCAGATAAATGAAGGATCCTTAATTGTTTTTGCAAATCACACTGGAAAAATTATCTAGAAATGAGTAATAATTCCTTAAATTAGGTGTATTTATTCTTAATTTGAGTAGGTAAATGAGATAATTTGCCAATGGAATGAGTATTTTTACTCTTAAAATAAGATAGTTAGATAATATGCACTTGAAATACGACAATGCAATTATGTTTTCTTATTTTAAGTGTAAATTGTTTTGTTCCATTGGCAAAATGTCTCTTTTACCTCCTCAATCCAAGAAAAATTCACTTATTTTAAGAAAAAAATGACTTCTCTAGATTTCGATTTTTTTCCAGTGCATAACCCTACGCAGTGGTGTGCTTCACCGGCAGGTGGTCATGCTAATTATGCTAATTGGAGCGATTCTCCAAACATTTTTAAATTAAATTTTAGCTTAAAGTGAAGTTTATTAGGAAAAGAGACAGAAAAAAAAGAGAAGCCAGCATGAAATATCCGACTAAAAATGCTAAGCTTTTCCGGTGCTACAAAGAGCACTGGAAATAATCAGTAGAGTGAGCAAAGAAGGAAATAAAGCTTTATTGTCGTTGCAGAGTATACAACAAAGTTCCATTTGGCCGTGTCTCTTTTAAACAATCACTGTCAGTTAAATAGTGTTAAAAGCTGTGTTAATGTTAGTGCCATAGATTCAGTATTAGTCCATGTTTGACTGGGTTGTATTCTATTTGTGTTTTTTTTTTTTTCTGCAACAGCCTTGAGGGAAAAATGTGTTTTTAAGTCTGTTAAAGTGGGTTCACGTGACTCTGCCAGAGGAAAGGCTGGTGAAAAGAGCACCTTGGTTGGGCTTGGTTGTCCCGGAGCCTCGTGGCCTGCAGGAGGGACTCAAATAGAGTCTCCTTTAGGTGTGGGACAGAATCCACTTAGCAGTTGTTTTATTCTAAGGATTGCAGCTTGCCTACGCCACTGTACCTCTGATTCTCTTTAATGCATCATGGTAAAAGCTTTTTTAGCTGAGGTAGAACAAGTTGGTTCCTCCTCAGCTTCCTCAACAGTGCAAAAAATGTGAATCTCAATAAGTCATTTTTTTCTTAAAATAAGTGCATTTTTAAAATTGGAGAGGTAAGTGAGACACTTTGCCAATGGGACAAGACAATTTACATTTAAAATAAGAAAAGGACAATTGTATTGTCTTATCTAACCTGCATATTATCTAATTATCTTATTTTAAGAACAAAAAATTGGAAATCATCTTATTTTCCTACTCAGATTAAGGCTAAATACAATAAATTTAAGAAAGTTTTACTTATCTCTTGATCGATTTTGCAGTGAAGAGATAATTAAGCTGCTCACTGGAAAAAAATCAAAATCTAGATATTTCATTTTTTCTTAAAATAAGTGCATTTTTAAATTGAAGAGGTAAGTGAGACACTTTGCCAATGGAACAAGACAATTTACATTTAAAATAAGAAAAGGACAATTGTATTGTCTAATATAAACTGCATATTATCTAATTATCTCATTTAAGAACAAAAAACTCATTCAAATGGCAAATAATCTTATTTTCCTACTCAAATTAAGGCTAAATACACTTCATTTAAGAAAGTTTTTTATTTTTTTCTTATTTGTAGATCGATTTTGCAGTGAAGAAACAAATAAGCTGCTCACTGGAAAAAATCGAAATCTAGATAATTCATTTTTTATTAAAATAAATGCATTTGTTCTTGGATTGAGGAGGTAAAAGAGACATTTTGCAATGGAAAAAGACAAAACACAATTGCATTGTCTTTTTTCAAGTGCATATTATCTAATTATCTTATTTTAAGAGTAAAAATACTCATAATCTAATTGACCTACTCAAATTAAGGGTAAATACACTTAATTTAGGAAATTTTAAATTATTTCTAGATCGTTTTTCCAGTGTTGGGCCTTTTTAATGAATGATAAAGGGGGTGTTCTTCACAGTCCATCCCACCACCACTGAAGTGTGCAGTCCAAGAAACCTAAAGCATGTGACCCACTTATCCTCTGCACTGTTGATGCTCGGGCCTAAGTGTCATGTGGTCGTCAACTTTCAGAAGTTAAAGATCATTTATTTTTCCTTTTTGGTTTTAAACTTGAGGAGATTGCTTCCTTCCCCAGCCTGCTTCCCTGTATGGTGCCTCATTAGTGTTAATCAGACTCTCAATGGTTGCATCATCAGCAAATTTGAAATGGGCATTAGAGGACGTCATTGTTTTACAGTCAAGTTTACATCCATGTTTTTGTG